TTCCAAATCTGCATGAGTTTCATTCTTATGTTGAACATAAAAGAAGATATTTTGAAGAATGCTGGTAATCAAACATTTGATGGTCCCCATTGTATTACTTTTACTAAGGAAGTCAATGGAGACCAACAACTGTTTGGTCCGTCAAAATTCTTCAAAGTATATTCTTTTTTTGTTCAACATAAGAATGAAACTTATACAGGTTTGGAACGACATGAGGGTGAGGAAATGATGACAACATTTTCATTTTTGGGTGAACTATCCCTTTAATTAAAACACCTTTTATAGAAGACTTTTATGAGTACAGTATTTGTCTCATGTGAGTGTAGACCATTTAGATGACTCTTCACAAAAAAAAAAAAAAAAGTAATTCTAAATGTTTTACACTTTTTAAATCAGAACCATATAATTTTTTATGTGTTTTAAAGAAGTTTCCTCTGTTCATCGTGGCTGCATTTATTTGAGCAAAAATACAGAAAAAAACAGTATATTGTAAAATATTATTACCATTTAAAATAATGGTTTTCTATTTTAATATACTTTAAAATATATTTCTGTCAGGACCACTATCGTCAAAGATGATTGACAATTAGCATACAGTTTGGATTGGCGGTATGGCTCTGTTCTGGGCAAGAACTCCCTGCGCATCCATGCAGCCCCAGGGTAAACAGAACAGAACCAACATAAATGTATTGCAGATATCGTTAAAGTTCAATAACGTTATGTACACATTTTAGAACTAGTCTGATTCAAAGGAGAATCAGAAGGCTGAATCCTGACTGACAGAGGAGGAGCTGGGGATGGAGGAGGTTAATTAGCTATTGAGCAATGCGAAAACTGCTGATAATACTGAGGGACCTTATATATGAATACTTAGATAGGTGTCGTATTCCCATAGGTTGATGGGGATCAGCTGAGAGTCAGCCGATGCAAGCTTGACTAACCTGCCAGAACTAACGCTACGCTAGATATATATATATTTTTTAAGTCAGCGAAGCTGTGATACTTTTTTCAGGATTATTTGATGAAGGAAGTTAAAAAGAACAGCATTTATTTAAAATAGAAAGTCTTTAGAATAACTTTTTATCAATTTAACACATCCTCGCTGATTAAAAGCATTAATTTCTTTAAAAAAATCAAATAAAAAAATCCTGAAATTTCCCCAAACTTTTGAATGGAAGCTTATATATATATATATATAAGCAAATAGGAAACAGTTATCTGGGGCTTGGGTGTTTTCAGCTGATAGTGGCAGCACCATTTACAGCAGCATTCATCAATTTGACCATCAAATGATCAATAACAGCATCCTTACTCCCAGCACTGCCATCAATCGAGGTATCAGAATCAAAACACCCACATTGACCCGGACAATCGATGTGTAGTCTAAGGACAAACATGGGCCTAAGGAATCGGTCTTATCCTGTTCTGGCGTAAGAGGGACCGGGGTAAGTTGTCACAAATTTTACAACACTGAATATTTATCTGGATCAGCTTAATACAATTTATTAAATACAGTTGATTAGCTGACAATGTTGTGAATGTATTGTTGCATGCATTGTTTTGTGTTTCAAATGAACAAAATGCCTTTAGTTGACTTAATGTCAGTGTTGTGTTCCCTAGTTATTCAATAAACATTACAAAAATATGATGATACTGGAATTGAAATTTGGATGATGAAATCACAATAATCAAATTTAAGACTGAAAATAGAGCCTTATTGTTTTCCCTCTCCACCCGTGGCGGTGTGAATCGCTTGGAGTCGGCCGCATCTGAATTCAAGACTCGGAAAGACACGGATGAGCAGCGATACGTGCCTCGACTTATCATAAGACGAACCGGACTTACAGACTTACTTCCAGACTCTGAAACTTTCTGGAAAGTTGCAGATGAGACTTCTGATCTACCTAGACCAAAGATTCATGAAACAACGACTCTTTGTTTAGCCTATAAATAAACACATTCATGTGAATCCCATTAGGTCGTTTAGATGAAATCTTTAGTAGGCTATTTGTAAATTCTACATAGCATGCGTGTTCATATCATTCATTCTTCAAAAGACTTAAAAATGAGCTGGAACATTAAATTATCAACATGCATATCTATTGAAAATGATTCACCAACGTTAACAGGTGTGAGTCAGAGGAACATTCATATGGAGAGAATATAATGCCAAAGACCAGTTCGTAAAGTTCAACAAGCGAGACACCTAGTGGTCTGTTTTTGTCATTGCATGTGAAACTCCAGTACGCACACATGCATACACATATAACGTAGCAACAACAGCTCAAATTGTAATAAATATAAATAACCAATAAACCTTGCTTGTAATTATGGTCATTTAAAAAAATATCGGAACACAATCCATTGAAGAAAACGCTTTGGTGTATTTCGCAGGACAGTTGAAGGCACATTGCCAACTACTGGAATATTCCACGAATACGGTACGGTTTTTATATTTTTATACTTATAGTAACCTTTTAGGGGTAAAACTGCCATGTTTTGTTTTTTTTAACTATTATCTAACATAAAAGTATCCTATGAAAAGTAGCTAGATTTAGACACTAAATATTACTATCCTCCATAAAATGATGTGGCCTGTTGGTTTTGACTTTCTAAAATCCATCCAATAATTTTATCGAACGTCGTAATTTTGACAATTCTGTTTAAGTGATATTCCATTCATTCATTTGAGATGTTTTTAAACATTTCACTGACCGGCCTTTATTTAAAAGAAGACAAATATACTCGATTTTAAGAGCCTCAGGCCCGATAAGGCCCGGATTTGTTAAAAGTGCCTATTGTGTTGTCAAATATAGGTTAACATACAGACTCAAAAGAATTGAACTGCCTGATAAATACTCGTTTCTTTACTGTAAACTGAGATGGTTATCTTAACACAGGGTTACCTTGAAATATAACAGCCGTATTGATATACCTTTTGGGGAACTGTCAAAACATATTGTTCAGGATTCCCAATGACCAGTATGAGCCAGGATTGTTCTGAAACGTGATGTTGGAAAGAAACTATAGTCAATAAAAAAGTATATGGTGCTGTTACTAGGTAGTTTCTATAAGATGTCAGACAGTGCCATCAGTGTATAACACAAATATATTCAATCTAAAACTAAGAATTTTATTACACATAACTTTTTTCATTTTAATGCTGGTACTCTGCGGCTCAAAAGTTATGATATACTATCAGTTTTCTGTTTTAAAATGTAGTTTATTCCTGTGATGGTCAAGCTGAATTTACAGCACCATTACTCCAGTCTTCAGTGTCACGTGATCCTTCAGAAATCACTCTGACATGCTTGGTCCTCAAGAAACATTTCTTATTATCAGTGTTGAAAACAGTTGCTCTTCTTAATATTTTTGTGGAAACCATGATACAATTTTGTTTTCAGAATTCTGTGATGAATAGAAAGTTGTTCAAAAGAACAGTATTTATTTGAAATAGAATTTCTGTCTAACAACGTCAAATCCATTACGGTCATATTTGATCAATTTAATGCATCCTCGCCGAATAAAATTAATTTCTTAATGAATGATAGTCTAGATCAGGGGTTCCCAACCCTGGTCCTGGAGGCACCCCAACACTGCACATTTTGCATGTCTCCTTTCTCTGACGCACCGATTTCAGGTCTTGAAGTCTCTACTAATGAGCTGATGACCTGAATCAGGTGTGTTTGATTAAGGAGACATCAGGAGATTGTGCAGTGTTGGGGTGCCTCAAGGACCAGTGTTGGGAACCACTGGTCTAGACGACATAAGTGAAAACAGTAGTATGAGTAAATAGAAAAAGCACAAATGTAATGGAATTCATGCACATTCTGCAACTATAAAATAAAGACATGAGACCGATTTTACAAGATTGATTTATTAACTATAATACAGGTCACAGAAGGCCTTACTGTTTATACACCATTCCCATTGAGACTAATTACCAACTTGTAATGACATGTATTTTTATTGATGTAACTTCATTTATTTCTGTATTTTTTTCCATTCTATTTTTGTTTCTTTGTCTTCCTTTTTTAATACTGAGAGCGGCAGACCCCTCTCCCTGACCTGGTCTTGAATCATGCACTACATCATTGTGGCCTTTACACCATTCACAAAAAACAAAACAAGACTGTTAAAAATGCTTCGTCTCATTTTTAATTATTAAAATAAAACATAAAAAGAACACCTTTTCTATCACCATTGACTACAGGGCAAAGCATCAGACCCCCTAACGTACAAATAAACAACCATTCTGAATATAGTTTTGCTCCTTTCTCCTTTAACTTAACAGACAATCTGTCACCAATGTTGAAAAAAGAAAATGAAACAAAAAATAAAGTGATGCAGCCAAATAGAATTGCTGAACCAATGTCACATTTTTAATACACATTTGTCATGTCACTTTACGTCGTCTTCCCCTGCACTTTTTAATTACTTTTGTTTCGTTTTTTTGCCGTTTTATTTTTTTCTGCGAAGGACAAGCGGCTCTGAAAGAATACATTGAAAATATACAGATAATGCAGAATTCACACACAAAGTACCAGGGGCGTATAGGCCACACAGCTCCCGATTTCCCAAAATATACCACTACTCCTCCTCTCTGAGGGCAAAAGATGTAGTGTTTAAGCAAAAATGGGTAAAGAGCTGCAGCTCATCCCAGCCAGTCAGAAGTCAGATTAGCATGTTATAAGGGGGCAAGGCAGGTTTGGTTCACACTGGTTAGCATGTATTACAGGGAGAGATGTGCACAAAAATGAAGTGAAATCTGCTGTGGGATACATTCATTGATCTCCATAAATGTGATTGTTTCACAGTTTCACAACGTCTCCCTGCTTGAAAACCACGGCTCAAAACAAACCGACTCTTTTGAGTTCAAATAAACACAAAAGTCACAGAAAATTATCTGTTACCTAATCTGGAGTATAAGTATAAATGCCGGGGAATATTGGTATGAACTTGAATGCTGAAAGTTTTCTACATTTTTGCTACAATCTGCTGTGGGATACATTCATTGATCTCCATAAATGTGATTGTTTCACAGTTTCACAATGTCTCCCTGCTTGAAAACCACGGCTCAAAACAAACCGACTCTTTTGAGTTCAAATAAACTCAAAAGTCACAGAAAATGATCTGTTACCTAATCTGGAGTACAAGTATAAATGCCGGGGAATATTGGTATGAACTTGAATGCTGAAAGTGAATCAGGTGATTGTGAATGCATCCAGCAGTTTCTAGAAAAACAAAAATGTAGCATTAGCCTGAATACGAGCGGAATTTCATCATGCAATACCTGCTTTGTCCACTGGGTGGTAGTGTTGTACTCCAAGAGCCCACTGAAGGAAAGGCCTACTCACAAGCTACCTCATTAACTTTCCCGTTTCTGTGCCCAGGTTTTCTAACCCCCCAATCTTTCTTTAAAAAAAAAAAACTTCTGGCATTTTATAAACAATGTCATCCTTCTGAGGTCAACTCTGAAGTCTTGACAAAAAGCCACTAACTGCAAGCTCATATTCTCTCACTCTGATAACGCACCACATGCTGTTTTCAAACACATTGAAGACTTTATCTTTTCTGAATGCCATTATTTCATCCAGCTATGCCACTATCTTCACTCTCATCCTCCTCTAGGCTTCCACAGCTCACTGATTCAATGCCATCTGAATAGGTACAGGTAAGACACAGCGTCTCCTCTAGTGCAACCTTCCTTGACCTTCCGGATCTGTGATGCAACTCTTGATTTAGTGCATACCTCTCCTCCAAACGCAGGTGGACCACAACCTAACCCATCCCTTAGAACTCACCACTCCTTGATTCACCAACCATGTGCACAAAAAACCAGTCCACAGATCCAACATAAGCCAGAAGGGAGGGACTTCCTGCAAACGTGTAATAAGAATAATAATACAGCTCCCAAATGAGCAGACACTGAACAAAGTCGAAGATCCTCGTGGAGCAGGAAACTGAGGGTTATCTGGTTGTGAGGACATTCTGCAATAAAAGAAGCATTAGTCTTCCAGCATGTTCTGGAGGCTCATGCGCCAGGGGATAAAGGTGAGGAAAAGATTTCAAATCCCAGAATGCTGTGCAAAAGCATTCCACAGACAACCATTCCAGCAAAACTAGATCCAGTTAGTCAAGTTCTAGTTTTGTCTTTTGATTTTTGTCTCTTTTTTAAAAGGCTGAAACTTTGATTAAATAAGGAGTAGGAATATGGTCGTGTTGCTGCATTGGAAAAAAGCATTTTGTTTTCATAATTTTATAATAACAGTTGTCGGAAGTTACGACAAGAATCTGGTGAATATATAGGCCATCCTGTTGGCCCGCTTAACCTTATTTCTAAGAGGTTGCGTACAGTGGTCACCCGAATATGAGGTGGGGTTCAGCCCATTTGTTCATATACCCCAACACCCATTGGTCGCCAACTGACGAAGACAATGCTGAACCAGCAAGAGTGCAACACCTACGTCACATGGATCCATTAGAGATCTGGGTTTGGGGTTACCACACTTCACGTGCAGTTATCTATGTGTGTGTGAGGAGCATAAAGGGCCAAGAACAGAGCGGCGCTGCAATTTATGGAGTAGCATGATGCAGAAAGTGGGCAATGAAGTGTGGTTGACGTAGCTCATGTACTCTTGACCTTTTTCTTTCTCGTTCCTCTACTGCTTTTGCTTGTGACAAGTCAGGCACAGCCGTGCAATCTCCTCAGAAGTTTCTTCCATTCAATTCATCTCTTTCAGTGCTCCCAAAGTTCTCCTCCTCGTCTACAGGTTCACAGCATGTGTTGTTCCGTAGGGGTGTGATGGGGGTGGAGCGAAGGCAGCAGGCTCTGGATTGGGGATTGAGGGGTTGGGGGTGGAGAATGGGGCGGGGATTGTTGGACTGGGCTGAAGGGCGGGGCTACGGGGTGTAATGGGGCGTAACAGGCAGAGTAGGCGGAGCCTGGTATGGAGGAGGCAGAAGACAAGATGGTGGTAGGCGAGGCAGGGTGTCCAGGCAGGCCGCTGGGTGTGTCGGCCAAAGGCTGATTGTAGAAGAAGAAAGCACACTGGTGGATAAATGTCTCGATGATCATCTGGTAGGTGCGTGTGGCCGTCAGCGCGTCCATGGTGGTGAAATCGGGCCGCATTAGCGTCGGCCAGAAACAGATGGACAAGTTCTCGCTGGTCATCAGGTTCAGGCGGCTGTTTTGACTCACCCTGAAAGAAAGAGAGAAACAGTGAGAATGGAAAACATTTGTGCGAGCGAGTTTGGTCATGTCTTGCCCTAGGGATGGCTCTGATTCTCACTTGTTCAGGTGAGTGATGACGTATTTGAAGACCTCGCAGTTTTCTCGAGGGAACCTGCGGAGCACGTCCTTCATGGTGTGGAGACGCTGCTCTCGATCATTGATTTCTGCAGGGGGCCGAGAGGGAACACAGAATGAGACTCAAACACATTTATTTTCTTTATGCTTCACAGGTGTTCACTTGTCCCACAACACACAAATAGATGGAGAGACACACACACACAGGAGTCAGTCTTGACAACTGCTTCAACGCTTGAGGACCTTCAAGACCAATGTGTTTCTGTAATGTGAAGGTCTCTCTTAAAGGGACATCTCAAACATTGTGTTCTATTAGTTTCAGTAAAGTAAAAAAGGCATGAGTTATTTAGAGAAAGTAGATAGACATGTTTTGAATTATTAACAACTGTATGAACCATACACATAATATTAAGCTGTGTCCCACATATACAATGTGTTCAACCCTGTTACCATGATGATCCACTCTTTAAGTTTCATCAAGTTGTAACATTTTGGAAGTAAAAATGTAGCAAATTTCTACAGCATGGTGGAACTACAAGTAAACGATCACGTTTCATTTTCTTTAATTTTCTATACAAATACATTGCGTTTGTCAAGCTTGACCGTCAACCCTGTTACCAAAGTCCCAACAACAGGGTTGAATGTTGCAAATAATATAAGGGGGAAAAATTGTACCAAAAATGTAAATACTTGCAAACTAGCTAGTCCAGTCCTAGCCTAGTGACAGATTAATTCAAACTTAATCTGCAACTGTTACTTATTCTGTTATATTTACCATTTTATTATATATAGTAGAACCTTTAACCAAAGATAGATATATAGATAGACAGATAGATAGATAGATTTAATTATTTTAATTTGGTGAAGTATTTACCGCTGCTAAAATACTACATCAAACACAACATTTGGATACAGCTTTAACTGTATTTTAATTTTAAACTGTCATTAATTTTTGTAACAGGGTGGAAAACTTAATTATAAATGTAAATTAAAACAGTGCACGCAAAGAATTTTAAAAATAATTTTCAAAGAGATGTATGCACTCTTTTGTATGCATGACTAGAAAGTGACACTTAAAAAAAATAAAACAAAATAATTTTTTGTTAAGAGTTATCAATTTCAAACTTTAAAAAATGAAATAAATCAGATTTTAAACAGACAAATTAATAGATAAGAAACTCTTTAATTCATGTTTTAACAGATAAAATATATACAAATTCACATATAATTTAAATAGAAAAATAGACCAATTTAAAACTAAAAATTAAAACAATAAAATAATAAAATAGTAAACAGACTCCTAGTCCTCCATAATTTTGCACTAGATTTGTGAAAAATGCTGAATATTAATAGAGACTTTCATTCAATGTGTGTGCAGAAACTGAATCACTCTAGCTGCTCCAGATGAAATGTGTGTGGGGACTCTTTCTTAAAACACTATCCACGTTTGGCTTTGGGACCTCAGATTGCTTGGAAGCGATGCTTGAGGAAATAATTCAGGAATAATGAGTTTTAATATGCACAAAGGAAGCAGCACACTCCACCTAAATCAATAAACAACAACTCTAGGGAGGAGTAACAGTGAAAAGGTGTGTGTATGTGTATGCGCGAGCATACTAGACTTCCCATCAGTCTCATCTGGAGTGACCGAGGGATTGTTCAATGAAGCACAGTGTCTCACACACACAAACAGTACATGTACAGAAATAAATGTGTAGTGTGTGCACTGCAGTCACACACAGAGACACACACATACACACACGCCCTGGGTGCAGTGAGCTTGATGGTTGCAGTGAGTCAGAACGGCTTACATCAGCCCTTAACGCTGTGAGCCCTGTGTCAGAACATGTGACCACTACGGCAGATGTGTCCCTCCCTAGTCTCACTCACACACTGACATCAGCATTATGCATTGTGGCCCCTGATGCAGAATTACTATAGTAACTAGAAAGAAAATGTGCAGAACCACCATAATGCCAGGTAATTTCTTTATGGTTGCTAGCTAGGATGATTTTTAGTGGATGTAGATGTAGAGTGTTCTGGGTCATTGCTTACTGACCCTCCAGCAAGTTCCAGAATACATGTTTTTATCAGTTATAACTCTAAGAGAGAAACAGCGCAGACACTAGACAAGGATGAAACTTTATAGTGCACAAATGTTTTAGCGCACTATCAAACGGAGTATACTTAGCATGTTTCCATCAATACTTAAGGATTCTTTGGGCCTAAGTTTAAAGCCCAAACTATACTTCGGTTTTTACGTGTATGCACGTGTGTGATGTACATTTCGTCACCAATACTATACAGACACAGGCCGATTTTTATAACTACACATATTCAGCACGCTCATCTCACACATGTGCTTTGAATTTTTCCACATAGTACACACAAACTGTCCACAACACAGGAACGCACATATTCAGTGCATACGAAGACATTTTGTTTTTTTTTTAAAGGCTCGGCAGTGCGCATATCTAAGCGTTCAGGTCAAAACTAAAGTATATTTTAGGCTTAATTCTCAAACTTAGAAACGTGAATGAAACCATGACCTCAAGTATTAGCAGTAGTAATAGCCAGACACTGTTGATTTTGAGACTGAATATGCAAATCAGAATAAACTGCCACCGCCAATCAGAAAATGCATTAATCTAAATATCCCGTTGAGACATCTAATAGATGGCAGATCAACAAAGCAAAGGAATATTCAGAAGGTCTTAAAGCAGTGCAGGTGCGTCCTGTTTCCAGAGACTAAAACAGAACAAGCCTGCTGGGCTGTTGCCATGGCGTCCAGTGACAGACGGACCGCCGCAAAGCACCGCCCACCACCTGCGGAGAGTGACACGGCAGTCAGGTGACCTGCCGTCTGTCCTCTCCCTCCATTATCCCTTCCTTCTTAATACAAGAACATTACAAAAGCCCATTGAGAGTAAGTAGTGTTTGGTTGTAAGTGTAGTTGTGACAAACTATTAACAAGTGGTTACTAAAACAGTTTTGGTTACCATTGACTTGCTTTGCATGGACAAAACAAATGCTGACATCTTTTAAAATATCTTCTTTTGTGTTTCACAGAAGAAACAAACTCAACCACGTTTGCAATGACATGAGGGTGAGTAAATAATGACAAGTTTGATTTCTGGGTGAACTATCCCTTTAAATCTTTGCCGCGTAACTTCCCGCGCATCAAACACAGCTCAGAACACACTAGCAACCGAACGGCGACGCCCTGGCAACCACCCACAACATTATGTTGTCAAGATTTGCACAGGCAAGATCCCCTCACATTATCATCAGGAAACATACAAATCTATTTTTGGTTTGAAAAACACAAAGATAACTATTAACAGCTTGAATTAGTATCGGATTATGTTGGTATCTGGCAGATTAAATTCACTAAAAAATATGCAGCGGACTCAAATTACCGTATTGGCCCGAATATAAGACGACCCTGATTATAAGACGACCCCCCCTTTTCCAGATGTACCTTTTGGAAAAAAGCTTTTTAAAAACCAAATCTTGTTTTTTCTCAGTAAAACACATTTTGTCTTCAATTATTTTCATATTGCATGTGTTTCCTATTTTAATTTTTGTTTTGAAAGTATGGTAAAAACTGGTAAAATGTACCAACAATCATCACATTAAAAAAATATACACTTTTTGATGTACCATAAAAAAACGGTAGCCCATCTGAATTAGGACATTTAGGCTATCCATCTAATAGTAGCCTACCAAAATCTTATTAACAGTAGAAGTTAAATCTTACTGTAATCTTCACATCTGGGTACTGTCTTACGTTTTAAAATCACAAAGGAAGTTTGGTGCCATCAGGCTAACGTGACAGTACCGACTCATGCAGCTGTAAGGTTTTATTTTTCTTTTGTTTTTACTCGCGATCTTTACAACACGCATTACATTACGTATTTCATGGCACACTCGTTTTATGTGTATTTGGCGCCACCTATTATTGCTGGTGTATTATTGACATGTCAAAGTCTAGACCCCGAATATAAGACGACCGCGTTTTTTCAGATGTATTTCCAAGAAAAAAAACGTCTTATATTCGGGTCAATACGGTAACATTTTCTATGGCCATTTGAACAGTATTGAGATTTTTTTATATATATACCAATATTTTCTTGTATACCAAAATTTTAACACTAGCAAAATGAGTGACATCATGATTGGATCATATTGAACAATTTTAACCAATCAAACCTGCTCTTTTGTGCTTTACTCCACCAGTGCAGGTTTGGGTGTTACGCTTTATTTTCTGCTGAATCAGACCTGCTGTTTGCGAAACTATTTAAATCATGGCACGACTTGAAAGGGCTTGTTTATTGAGAAACAGTCTGGAGTGAAGGACTAACGGCAATCTTAGGCTTAAGTCTCATCGCTTGTGTGTTGCTGGCTTGGAGCGATGCCTAGAGTAGACAAAGCTGAACTTCACACTGAGACAGAGTGTGTGTATTAAAGAATGGGGAGTGAAGACTGTAATACCGCAACAGGAAAACGCACTGCGGAAACCCAATCCATTTCTACTCGCTGGCTTCTCCCTTGTTGTTCTTTTTCTCCCTCTAACAAGAGCTCTCCACACACAGGATGTCCAGCAGAGGAGATCTCCAGAGCACACTAACCTCAGAGGACTATGCTGTCTGACAGTAAACATCTGGCCTTCCCTGTATCAGTGTTTTTATTGATTGTGAGAGCCTACATAGGTCCATTCGTCTGCTCACTGTCGTGTTGATACTCACTGAAGGCCTCCACCAGCTCCGTCTGCATGCTGTAGGGTACCAGAGGATCAGGCAGCTCTGAGAAGAAGCTCTTCATCGCTCCAGCCACCGTGTTCACAGACATGTCCTTCTCGATCAGGTCAATGTTAGGGTCTATATAATGTACAGAAAGAGAGAGAGAGAGAGAGAGAGAGAGAGAGAATTCGGTTAGACTTTCAAATGGAGGTTTGTGAATGACTGCAGCTTTTCAAGCTATTCACAAATTAAAGTCATTAAATTACAGTCTAAAAAGTAAAAAAAAGGAAGACCACCATAATCGTTTTCAGAGTGTGACTGGTTAAGTGTGCATTATCCTTCTAATGGGTGTTCCTACACTTTTGGGCTGATTTTGATTAAAACCAACAGATTTATTCTTACAAATTTGACCATGGATAAAAGGCATGTAAAAAAGTATTTTTGTTACTTTTCACACACATTTGTTTTACCCTTGGTCCCAGACCTTCAATCTAAAACTATGAAAATAATTCATATTTATAAGATGGATTGAGTTTAATAATCTAAACAAAAGGTGAAGTAAACAAACCATTTCAATAGTTCCTGTGTGATTTACACTATCATTCAAAAGTTTAGGTTTTAGATTCTTAATGTTTTTGAAAGAAGCGAACCAAGAAACATTTTTACAATTTCAAATAACTGTTTTCTATTTTATTATATTTAAAATGTTATTCCTGTGATGGCAAAGCTGAATTTTCAGCATCATTACTCCAGTCTTCAGTGTCACATGATCCTTCAGAAATCATTCTGATATGCTGATTTGGTGCTTGAAAACGGTTGTGCTGCTCAATATATTTCAGAAACACGAATAGAAAGAGATTAGAAAGTTCACAGAAAATAATTATAATTTTTGTTATAATAGTATAACATTTCTTTACTGTCAATTTTTGAGCAATTTAATGTGTCCTTGTTAAATAAAGTATTAAAGACCCCCAGTGGTGAAAGTCAAGTTTTTAATGTGGTTTACATGTCTATCTGGTGTTTTTAATATGCTTATGGAAAAACCATGTGCAAATGCATCAACAACACCACTGCTGAGCATTTTCTCCTTAAAACGGCAGTGTATCAAAGTCTCAAAAAAGTGCTTGAAACCACCCATTTCCTACCATCATAAACGTGACCAATCCCGTCAACCTGCGCTACATATCATTAGCAAAGTGTTTCTACCGGAGGATGTTGATTTTTAGAAGGCAGCTGTCTGAGATGGCAAACGGGAACCTGGTTTGTGTAACATTAGCAACACGTTATTAACTGTTTGATAACATAGGCAAGCCAAAGGCTAATGATATCAATTACTGTAACGTGTCTGATGTTGTAGAGAGTGTAACAAGCTGTATTGTTAAGCAAAAATTGTGAATGCATTCAATTTGCTATTGATCAATACATTAATTTGTATGTTATCACTAACAGAACACAAATGACAAATTAAACTAATAAGATTGGGAAAACTCCGAGCAAAAAAAAGCCAAAGGGCCAAAAGTGCCAATAACTGAAGAAACACCATGACCTGCACCAAAAGTTTGGGTCACTCTGACCCAGAAATACATTTTGTACCAAGGAACTGGCATCGAGATGAATGGGAAGGCTAATGTAATTTTTCTACGAGGTACTTACAATAGAGGTACTAACAACAAACAATCCGTTTCTTAAAATCAGACACAGGATCATATGAACATCACTGACAGGCAGCTTCTTCCAAAATGCATCTTCTTTGTTCACACAAGGGGTCCTTCTGAAAGCAAAAGCCCCTTATAATCAAACCTCTCCACTCTTGCTGTCTGGATGCATCTCTAATCTCTCAGCTGATCCAGCGAAATGTGTATCTAATTAGAGAATGTATGCTTAGCGTGCAGGCGTGAAATTAGTGCATAGGAGAGGGTGAGAGGTTATGAGACGCAAACAACAAGCGCCGATTAAAACCACAAAACAATTTTGATCTTCGGTTCTGCCAATATGATTGAGCTAAAGCTACAAACACACACAAGCACTCCACATTCGTATTACAATTGTAATCTTTCAGTCCAGCACGTTAAATCCAGTTGACCCCAGATCAGTTACTCTAGCCGTCCTGATTCTATTTTATCAGAGATCGATAATGGCAGTGTAGCACCTGATTGTGCATTGTCTGACATTTCGCTGAAGCTGGCCGGGATGCTGCTGAGCACATACCTGTGCAGTAATTTCCGCCGTAATTGTATCGTCACCTGGCTGTGCGGGGTTCTGATCGATCAGACACGAGCCTTCGCCTTCTATTAGTTCATGCCCTTCCAAACCAGGCCCGACCAGATCAGTGGAGCGTGTGCGCTCGTGGTTCGTTATTACCCAAACCAATCTGCTGGTAATTAACTGACCTTCTCTTCCAGCACAAACACACAATCAGGACAGCCTACAGTGGCACACACACACACACACACGCGCATGCACGCACGCACGCACACACACACCCACAGCACACAGCAGTTTCTTTAAAGAGCCTAATGAAATGAAAATGAGAGATTTGGGGCCATGATTTTGGTCCATGTCTATTAAATAATAAAATATATGAATTTATCAATAAATATTTAATTTCTTTTTAAGAATGATAGTTAAAAAAATAAATGACATATTCATATAAACCTTCATATATTTTATTAGCTATTCATATATTATACAATATTTATAACATGTAAATGCATTTTTACTTATAAATGCTTTATTCTGTTCTGGATAAAAAAAAATGGGATATACTGATAAAATTTGGAATACACTATCGTTCAAAAGTTTAGCTACCGTAAATGTATGTTTTTGAAAGAAGCCTGTTATGCTCACCAAGGCTGCATTTATTTGATCAAAAATACAGTAAAACAGTAATACACAAATATAGAAATAAATATAAATATTTTTACAATTTAAAATAAATGTTTTAATATTTTAAAATGTAATTCATTCCTGTGATGGCAAATCTGAATTTTCTGCAGTCACACTTATTATTATTAATGTGAAAAACAGGTTTGCTACTTAATATTTTTGCAGAAACTGTGATATATATTTTTTTCAGGATTCTTTGATGAATATAAAGTTTGAAAGAATAATATTAATTTGAAATAGAAATACTTCATTTTGATCAATTTAATGCATCCTTGAGAAATAAAAAAGTATTAATTTCTTATATATATATATATATAAATCGAATATAAAACTTTTAAATCATAGAATATGTATTCCTTTATATTATGCCCTATTATATTATACACACATACATATATAAACACAAATAAACATATACTAGTCTGAACTATATATACACATCATAACACCTTTAAAAAATAAGCAATCGAAAACAGACGCTGTGCTGCCTCTTCTCAAGTATGCACATAATACAAGCATAATCTATGCACTCTGACATTATGCTTCATAATGGCCCACAGTGGGCTGGATCAATAGCTGTGGATCAGTCTCGGTTAATTGAGCTTATCTGCTCTACAATGTGCTCATTGACGGAAATGTGATCCATGCACCGAGGAATAGCAGCCATTTCTTTGAAAGCAGCAAGGTCAGCCGGGTCTGCTGTGACTGGCCCACTCAAACTTTTCCCCGAAGGCAAATATGAGTAACAGAGCTCTGTATGTACTATGATATCCATGAGATGTCTTTAGATTATGCTGCTACAACAGCAGGGTAATGTGAGAGCATGGACGTTCATGGAGGCCAGACAAGCAGTGAGAGAGAGAACAGAGAGAGAAGGCAGGTGGTGGGAGTCATTGCTCTTGTTATACTTTAGTAATGTAGTCTTAGCTTCACAAGCTTTTTTAAGTGGTACTTTTGAAAACGTACCATGGTATTATAAAGTACAGGGAAATAAATTACATGGGTCAAAGACATTGATTCATTCCATTCTGTCATTAATTACTCACCCTCATGTCGTTCCAAACCCGTTAAGACCTTCGTTCATCTTCGGAACACAAACTAAGATATTTTTGATGAAATGTGAGAGCTCTCAGACCCTGCATAGACAGCAACGCAACTGTAATGTTCCCAGGTCCAGAAACGTAGTAAGGACATCGATAAAACCATGTCCATGTGACATCAGTGGCTCAACTTCAGTTTTGCGAAGCTACGAGAATACTTTTTGAGCACAAAGAAAACAAAAATAACAATTTATTTAACAATTCTTCTCCCCCGAGTTACGTCTTCCGCCATTTTGGAGAGTACCCAAGAGCGTAATCGACGTAATCAGCGTTGTTTATGCTTAGGGGAAAGCGTGCGTATGTGTTGTGATACTCTCTAAAATGGCAGAAGACATAACTCGGGGGAGAAGAATTGTTGAATAAATTATGTTATTTTTGTTTTCTTTGCGCTCAAAAAGTATTCTCGTAGCTTCGCAAAACTGAAGTTGAGCCACTGATGTCACATGGATTGTTTTATCGATGTCCTTACTACATTTCTGGACCTGGGAACATTACAGTTGCGTTGCTGTCTATGCAGGGTCTGAGAGCGCTCACATTTCATCAAAAATATCTTAAAGGGGTCATATGATGCGATTTAAATTTGTCCTTTTTCTTTGGAGTGTTACAAGCTCTTGGTGCATAAAGAAGATCTGTAAAGTTGCAAACACTAAAGTCTCAAATCCAAAGACATATTCTTTATAAAAGTTAAGAGTCAGCCACGCCTACCTAAAACGGCTCGTTCTAACACGCCCCCACATACCTACGTCACTATCTGGGAAGATTTGCAGAACGCCGCCCAAATGTTCATGCAAAGAAAGAAAGCGTGCCGCCATGTCGTGAAGGCGCTGTGTGCTTGGTTGTGAAAGCGAAACTACTTTGTTTGGTCTTCCAAAAGAGGATGATATCGCTTCGTCATGCCTGGAGCTGATCCGTGCTGGTCGCTGAGGAAATACTTCAACTTTGCACTGTCGATCGCCGGATCAGCTTTCAACGTGGACGAAGCTGAGTCCAGCCCGGGGTCGTCACATGTGGTTGCCGCAGGCATCACAATATGGTAAGGGGCGTAACATTTCCGTCACACGCTTGAGGTATTCAGCCAATCACAACGCACTGGATAGCTGGCCAATCAGAGCACACCTCGCTTTTTCAGACCGATGAGCTTTGTAAAAATCTACGCGTTTCAGAAAGGCGGGGCATAGAGGAGAAACAATAATTTACAGTATGTGGAAAATAATGTGTATTTTGAACCTTAAACCGCATAAACACATTTCATTACACCAAATAATGTTCTTTTTAGCAACATCATATGACCCCTTTAATTTGTGTTCTGAAGATGAACGAAGGTCTTAATGGGTTTGGAACGACATGAGGGTGAGTAATTAATGACAGAATTTTCATTTTTGGGTGAACTATCCCTTTAAAAATATATATATAAGGCAGGGTAGGTGATTTGGCTGTCTATGTATTTGCATACCTCTGCTCATCCTGTTCGCGCAGACATGATACGTCATCAATGCGTTCCATTACGCTATTGCAGACCGAGTGAGAATGGAAGACGTTATTATTGTAATATTATGCGCTTCGTACTGTAATGTTTTTTCACCAGTGAATGAGACATGAGGTAATCTGACAGCGTTGCATTCAACCCTCCACCAACGCCGTGTCTCATCGTGTCGCTGGTTAGCCTCTGCTCTGCTGTGCGCGTTCATGTGTTTTGGAGGAGGCGTGGCTTTGGAGAGTGATTTGCAGGGAGGGTGGGATCTTATGCTTTCAAAGCTAGCTTGCTATTGCTAGCCTCTCTGAAGTCGCCTACCCTACCTTTAATGGCATCTAATGATTATTGTACTAAATATATATATTTATATATAAATATTGGTATATAAACTATATATTACACTGAATTACATTTTAGTGGGTGTCTTCTGTAAATCACTGTAAAAATTTATGATAGTTATTATTTTTTGCTCAGGAGAAAAAAAAATACATAGGGCACATTTTAAATGTACAGGGAAAAAACTGAAAGCTATATTAAACTTATTGTTTAATGCTTGAAAACCCCTTTTAGTCTTTGACCCATATTTTATGGTATTATCCTGTTATACATCAAAGTAACCATCACATCTAGTATTAAACAATTAGTTGTGTTATAAAACTCAAACAGATTTTTATGTGGAATTCAGTGCCCATGAGCAAAGACAGCAAGAGATGAACGGAAACACTAACAGACAGTTTCCTCCAGATATTATAGACCCCCATGGCTTTTTTGACATCATTTTCTCTTGACAAGATAGCAGCTTTGTAAGGGCAGTTTTGTAGTGAACATGAGTCTTATCTGAAACGCTACAAAAGATATTGCTGGACTTCTAATAACAATAGTTATTAGGTGCGTCTGAAATCACATGCTGTCTAGCAGGTACTACATTTGATAAGAAACAAACTTCACAGCTATTAAAAAGTCTGTTCTATATAGTATGAATGTGTAGTATCATTAAAATCTGGATGTACAGTACTACATCCGCTATGTTGTCATCGTCACGTAATCCACCAGTGGCAGTTGCGTCATTTTTCTGTTAGTCACAACTCTACACCCATGGCCTCATGATAGTAAAATGTCCATAAGATGCACACTTTGGAATATCGACAGAAGTGTTACATCTACAGTATGAATTCTTACTATTCATTTTACATACTATTTTTCCTCTACTATATAGCAGGGAAGCATGCATATTTGTACACAGGGATTGTCTTATGTGTAGTAAATAGGGCTGGACAATAATTCAATATGTATCGCGATATAATTTTTTTCAATAACGGTGATATGATTTTTAAACACATTTCCGATATTTCGATATACATTACCAGTGTTTCCCATACGTCATCAATGCGTTCCATTACGCTATTGCAGACCGAGTGAGAATGGAAGACGTTATTATTGTAATATTATGCGCTTCGTACTGTAATGTTTTTTCACCAGTGAATGAGACATGAGGTAATCTGACAGCGTTGCATTCAACCCTCCACCAACGCCGTGTCTCATCGTGTCGCTGGTTAGCCTCTGCTCTGCTGTGCGCGTTCATGTGTTTTGGAGGAGGCGTGGCTTTGGAGAGTGATTTGCAGGGAGGGTGGGATCTTATGCTTTCAAAGCTAGCTTGCTATTGCTAGCCTCTCTGAAGTCGCCTACCCTACCTTTAATGGCATCTAATGATTATTGTACTAAATATATATATTTATATATAAATATTGGTATATAAACTATATATTACACTGAATTACATTTTAGTGGGTGTCTTCTGTAAATCACTGTAAAAATTTATGATAGTTATTATTTTTTGCTCAGGAGAAAAAAAAATACATAGGGCACATTTTAAATGTACAGGGAAAAAACTGAAAGCTATATTAAACTTATTGTTTAATGCTTGAAAACCCCTTTTAGTCTTTGACCCATATTTTATGGTATTATCCTGTTATACATCAAAGTAACCATCACATCTAGTATTAAACAATTAGTTGTGTTATAAAACTCAAACAGATTTTTATGTGGAATTCAGTGCCCATGAGCAAAGACAGCAAGAGATGAACGGAAACACTAACAGACAGTTTCCTCCAGATATTATAGACCCCCATGGCTTTTTTGACATCATTTTCTCTTGACAAGATAGCAGCTTTGTAAGGGCAGTTTTGTAGTGAACATGAGTCTTATCTGAAACGCTACAAAAGATACTTCTAATCTTCTAATAACAATAGTTATTAGGTGCGTCTGAAATCACATGCTGTCTAGCAGGTACTACATTTGATAAGTTCACAGCTACACAGCTATTAAAAAGTCTGTTCTATATAGTATGAATGTGTAGTATCATTAAAATCTGGATGTACAGTACTACATCCGCTATGTTGTCATCGTCACGTAATCCACCAGTGGCAGTTGCGTCATTTTTCTGTTAGTCACAACTCTACACCCATGGCCTCATGATAGTAAAATGTCCATAAGATGCACACTTTGGAATATCGACAGAAGTGTTACATCTACAGTATGAATTCTTACTATTCATTTTACATACTATTTTTCCTCTACTATATAGCAGGGAAGCATGCATATTTGTACACAGGGATTGTCTTATGTGTAGTAAATAGGGCTGGACAATAATTCAATATGTATCGCGATATAATTTTTTTCAATAACGGTGATATGATTTTTAAACACATTTCCGATATTTCGATATACATTACCAGTGTTTCCCATACATTGATTTATTTGTGGCATTCGATTTCGTTGAATAAACATGAGCACGCACATTTCAAAATCAAAACACGTCGCGGGTGTTTTATATGAATGTATCTCTGAAAGGAAAGGACTGTCTTCAGAAAAGTTTCGATGGGATTTTCATTTTATCTGATAAAGAAGCGTTCATGAGCGGAGCTGATTTGATTACAGCCATTACTGGAGAAACCACTAGTTCTACTGCTCTCAAAGCGCCTCCTGCTGGCAGAGAATGAATTAACATTTTCAATAATAAGCTCTTCCCTTTTATCTTCAAAGATCTCTGTTGTCATGTAGCTCAAATTAGATTCAGAGTGTTTCCAAACAGAAAGAAATAGAAGAAAATGGCCAACTTCCCAATAAGGATACTGAAAAGCTAGACTTTTACAAAGCCTCTTCAAATGGATGAAGGTAACTTTGTGTTTTTATAAATTATTTATTTACTATTTAGTATAAATAAGATTTACACTACCAGTCAAAGGCTTTTGAACAGTAAGATTTGAATTGTTTTTGTCTCTTTTGCTCACCAAGGCTGCATTTTTTTGATCCAAAGTACAGCAAAAACAGAAACATTTTGAATTGTTTTTACTATTTGAAATAACTGCTTTCTATTTGAAATTATAGAAATTGTATTTAGCGCTGCAATTTTATTTATAATACTTTTAGCAAGGATGCTTTAAATTGATCAAAAAGATGAATGTTACAAAAGATTTCTATTTCAGATAAAATCTGTTCTTCTGAACTTTCTATTCATCAAAGAAACCTGAACAGTGATCGACCGATATTGGTTTTTTGACTGCCGATATCTTGGAAAGCAGGGTATAATTTTATTTATTTAAATTAATGTTTAAGAAATTTGAAATCATTTGAAAATGGATTAAAAAGTAAATGTGTTACATATACAAATATCGGCCGATATATCGGCCCTGGCGATATATCGGCCGACCACTAAACATCAGTATTTCATTTTTCATTCAATATCATGATCATCATCACATAATTCATGCTCATTTCAAAACTGCCATGGTAGCTTTGGCCTTAGACCTTAGACTGATTCAAACCGACAACATTTTTGTGTGATTCATTAAAAGAATCGGCTCATTTGTTCACAAACTGGACTATATTAGCATGTTTGCATGCAAGTCTGTGTTTGTTTTTGCGTGCATCTAACAAAGATAATATAATTTTTTTTGGTGTGTATAGACTTCTCATAACATTCAATTCACATTGCAAGATGCAACATGTATGCAACAAATATGATTTCTTTTGCTGAGGCCGATTAGCACTTAAATGCTTCATTCGTGTCTGCCTGAATGAATCATTCCCATTACCAAATCGTTTAAATTTACCCTTACTAATTTCCCTCCTTGCTACAGTATTTCAACTTAAGTTCTACTTCACTGTTCCTTTTTAAATGGAATATTACTGCATCTTACTTAGCTGCACTACATTTTGCTCTATTTATATGTATTTGTCGTGCCAATGAAGCACACTAAACAGAAACTGAAAAGAGAGAGATAAGAAAGAAAAAGAAATTGAAAGGCGGACAGGTCATGTGACTCACCCTGGTCAAACTGCCGCTGCATGCTTTCCATCTCGGCCTTATTTCCACTCACCCTGTAGATCCCTTCTGTGCTCAACCCTGTGTGTGTGAGAGAGAGAGAGAGAGTTGACATTAATTAATGAGTTTTGCACTCCATTCATTTTACACTCTCAGAGCTTGATAAGAGCCAACAATGGTGTTATCTCCAGCTCAGAATGTACAACGCATTACACATATTTAATTTATATCTGAGGTTGCTAATCGTGCGACCACACTCCGACTGTCAGATCTTCACTGTTTGACTTATCAGTCGTACATGAAGAATGAGTGCTGCCACAGGCAGAGAGCAGCTTGTGTCTTGTTCCCCACAGATGCAGACGTAGACAAGAGTCAGAGAACGGCTCGCCTTGGCCCATCTCACCCATGCAGAGAGAAAACAAGTACATCGATAAAGAGGAAGACAGATCAAGAGGCAGAGAGACACTCTCGGAAATGAGTCGGCACGTTGCATTGATTGCCTCACCTCTCCTGATCAATTATCCATAAAAGCTTTTCTGTAGAGCTGCAGGAAGGGAAATGTGTGTAGAGAGGAAGGGTGTGTTTATGGCAGAGTGTAAGAACATGAGGGAAAAAAGAAAATAAAAAAGGTGAGAAAAGGACTGTAACACTTCAGAAAGATCAAATTTCATATTGCGTTATAGATTTGCACTGATCATAAAACTCTACTTTTGATGTCTGAGAAATCCACAAGGTACCTGGCCTACCAATCATTTCAATGTTTCTATTAAAAATAGGTTGAAATATGATATGAATATGAACTGCTTATTCAAGGTAATTTTTTTGTGATATAAAATTATCATCATTATATTAACCATAACAATGTGAATGCCATAGTATTTTAATGCCAGGCCTCAACAATACATTTTTTTTGCTATTGGACTCTGTTGTTTGTTTTTTACTTGCACTTCTAAATTTTTTGTAATAATAATAATAATAATAATATTATAATTATTGGGAGTTCACGCTGCAGTGGTGTATGTAAGCAATCATAAGCCATGCTCTCCATGAAGACAAAGACGTTTCAGCTAAGGATAAATGGATTTTCAGCCCTTGCATTAACTCTACTATTAAAAATATTTATGGAGATGAGAAATAATAATAATAATAATAATTAGGGGTGTAACGGTTCAGATTGCTTGCGGTTCGGTTCACGGTTTTAGGGTCACGGTTCGGTATAGTTCGGTACGGTATGTGCTATGTTCAGGGAAAAAAGGACTATGGTCAAATAAAAATAAAGAAAATAATAAACTAAATACAACAGCACAAACAAATACAATAGAGCATGCATTGTCAGATCTGAGATGAGCAAGTGGGGTCAACCTCAAGTGGGTCAGGGCAGTGCGGGTGCAGGGGCGGACCGCGGTACGTACCATGATATTTTGTGGGTGGTGCATCGTGGTTTTTTGGTTCGGTTTGAATATCGTTGCACCTCTAATAATAATAATAATAATAATAACCTGCATAGCTATGATCAGCTGTTCATCTATCTTGGCTGAGCTTTCGATCTCTATTTGAGTGCGCTTGCCATGCGCCTACATTTAAAATAACTAATTTGAGCATGCAAAAGACACGTGCATGTGTGTGATCATGTTTGTTTCACATTGCATTTATAAGAGCAGTTAGCCACATTCAGAAAAATTAATGGATCTCTATAAGCCTCTGCTGGATGTATATGGTAATTACACTTTTTTTTTTTCTTCTAAAACTGTATTTCCTACAGATTTTTCTGTAACCAGCAGCTGGCAGAATGCTGCCCCTAACACCAAGATCAATATCCAGAAACAACTTAAATATTTAATTTAGATCATTATTAAAGTGTTTTATGTAATATTTAAAATGCATGCTAATGGTGTAGTAGAGGAATTTTGTGGTAAATGGATGAAAAGTACTTCATATCCCCCCTAAACAGCATAATCTGTATCAAAATGAATTTCAATAAATAAAAATATTGTTAAAAGTCACACATTATATACAGCTACCACCACAAGTATATTTCAAACCTGTGGGAAGCACTGAAAAGTAATATGATAATACAAATTAATTACAGATTTGTAAGGTTTAAATGTGCTAGAAAAAAAATGTGTAGACAGATTGAGCTTAACCCATACATAACCATAAACTCACCATAAAATCAAACACATTTTTTTTCCACTAGAAAATAAATGGCACATGATTTAAACATTACTGATTGGTTGATGTTTCCAAGACTATGTTAGGTAGCACTGGTCAGATTTAAAATCAACAGAATTCACAGAACTATGCTTAACATAACAAAAAACCAACAATTCACAAAGCATGAAACCTGTTCAAGATCAACAAATGTTACATTTAGTGACAATGTATCAGTAACCCTTTAAAGGCAAGTGACCGTTTCATCAACTGGCCAGAAACTTTCACTCTGTTCCCAGGCTAGCTGATCCATTTTCAAGCCATTTAGGCTTTTTATTTGGCCTGTTAAATTTTAAAGCATACCAGATGAGAATACACTAGCCTACTATGTACTTCACAAGAGTCTTTTGATGCCCATTTTGCAAGCAAGTCATTCAAATGAACCTTGATGAACTTAAAATGAACTTCAGATGAGCTTTCCCACTGACAAAAAGTTTAAAGGGGACATCGGATGCCCATTTTCCTCAAGTTGGTATGATTCTTTAGGGTCTTCATAAAATGTCTGCAACATACTTTGGTTAAAATTCCTCAGTGGTCATGTAAAACAACACCCTTTTTACCTGGTCAAAAACAGCTCTGTTCACAGCGACCCATTTTGGTGCATGTCTCTTTAAACGCTAATGAGCCCTGCTCACCCCGCCCCTCTGTTCCGTGGAAGAGGCGATTTGCAAATAATCATAAGAAATCTAAAGTGTGGATCGGACTTACTTCTGGAGGTGCAGCTGGATCACAAACAGTGGGTACTGATCCATCCTTGAGTTCTAACTTTTTAGCAAAACCTGACTTGAATTGGCCCTCAAATAAAAATATTGTTAAAAGTCACACATTATATACAGCTACCACCACAAGTATATTTCAAACCTGTGGGAAGCACTGAAAAGTAATATGATAATACAAATTAATTACAGATGTGTAAGGTTTAAATGTGCTAGAAAAAAAATGTGTAGACAGATTGAGCTTAACCCATACATAACCATAAACTCACCATAAAATCAAACACATTTTTTTTCCACTAGAAAATAAATGGCACATGATTTAAACATTACTGATTGGTTGATGTTTCCAAGACTATGTTAGGTAGCACTGGTCAGATTTAAAATCAACAGAATTCACAGAACTATGCTTAACATAACAAAAAACCAACAATTCACAAAGCATGAAACCTGTTCAAGATCAACAAATGTTACATTTAGTGACAATGTATCAGTAACCCTTTAAAGGCAAGTGACCGTTTCATCAACTGGACAGAAACTTTCACTCTGTTCCCAGGCTAGCTGATCCATTTTCAAGCCATTTAGGCTTTTTATTTGGCCTGTTAAATTTTAAAGCATACCAGATGAGAATACACTAGCCTACTATGTACTTCACAAGAGTCTTTTGATGCCCATTTTGCAAGCAAGTCATTCAAATGAACCTTGATGAACTTAAAATGAACTTCAGATGAGCTTTCCCACTGACAAAAAGTTTAAAGGGGACATCGGATGCCCATTTTCCTCAAGTTGGTATGATTCTTTAGGGTCTTCATAAAATGTCTGCAACATACTTTGGTTAAAATTCCTCAGTGGTCATGTAAAACAACACCCTTTTTACCTGGTCAAAAACAGCTCTGTTCACAGCGACCCATTTTGGTGCATGTCTCTTTAAACGCTAATGAGCCCTGCTCACCCTCACCCTCACCCTCTGTTCCGTGGAAGAGGCGATTTGCAAATAATCATAAGAAATCTAAAGTGTGGATCGGACTTACTTCTGGAGGTGCAGCTGGATCACAAACAGTGGGTACTGATCCATCCTTGAGTTCTAACTTTTTAGCAAAACCTGACTTGAATTGTCCCTCTTTCAGAAAGCAGTCTGGAGTAAAATGATTTGCGCAGACATAAATGCATTTATGTAGATCGGGGGGCGCATTCCCTTCCAAAACAAAAGTAATCCACTGCGTCTTCAGCGGCACAGAGATGTCGGGAGTGAATGACTGCTATGTTCATTCTGACATCCAACAACAAAACACCTCAACCATTTAGGAGCCATTCTTGTCTACACCTGCTGCGGTGTCGAAACAATGGCGGACTGTTTACAGCTCACTCAGGGCGGGTCTATGCTAAAACGCCAATGCCCGTCAACAGTCGTGGTAGGGGCCTGTGCAAAGTGACGTCACTTTGCCAAGAATCTGTGAATGGCTTGTTCTGAGAAAGTGCTTATGGTTTGTGGGGGTTTAAAAACAAGTAATGGCAGGATTTTTATCATCATAGGGTTGTTGTGTACACACACTGCCAACACGCATTTAAGTTCAAGCCATTGTATAAAAGTGAATTTTGCATCCAATGTCCCCTTTAAAAGGACTCAAGACTATCCATTCATAGCTTACACCAAATTTACTCACAAACTAAAGACTTCTACAGAAAAAGTTCAAGCATAACAGAAGCCACAGGAATGCAAGAGGGAGAAAGAGAAACATCCCCTGAAGGACAGTCAAGGACAATACAAGGAAGCCACTATATTTCCAGTTCATTATACAATTTCTCTCATGTCATTCCATGTCCATCACTCTCAATCTTTTAGCCGTCATGAATGTCCAGTCCATTAGCAACATAAAGAGAAAGTCAATGTTAAGACATTTAAAAAAAACAGAAAGCTCTTTGAGCCTCATGGGCTTCTCTCACTGAAACTCACCATGACCTTTTTGCTTAAAGCCCTCCTAATGCACAGCTAACCCTGCAACATGTCCAAACAAACCCCTGCCGCTTCCAGCCATCATCTTCAGCATATCCTCCAGGGCCAATATCAGCCAATTCAGCATTTCTCCTCCTCCAACGGCTGTCACTTTCCCTCCGTCCTTGTCTCTATACCTAGAGCTATTTCTACTAGTGCTATTT